TCATAGAGACCAACTTATTTGTTTTGTTTATTTTTTGTTTAGACAGCGTCTCACTCTGTTGCCCTGGCTGGAGTACAGTGGCCTGATCATGGCTCACTGCAGCCTCAACCTCCTGGGCTCAAGCAGTCCTCCCTTCTCAGCCTCCCAAAAAGCTGGGACTAGAGGTGCACACCACCACACCCAGCTAATTAAAAAAGAATTTTTTTTAAATAGAGACAGGGTCTCCCTATGTTGTCTAGGCTGATCTCAAACTCCTGGACTAAAGTGATCCTTCCACCACGGCCTCCCACAATGCTGATACTACAGGCATAAGCCACCATGCCCAGCCCAGAGTTATTTCTTGAGCCATACCAAAATAAAATAAAACAGAAACACCAGAGTTAGTAGATGCTGATATTGCTAACCCTGCTTTAGGTAAAGTGTAGGTCTCTTCCTATACCAGTGGCGTTTCCTCCAGAAGTAATATTTCCCAACCTACCTCGTTCTTAAAACTCTATGGCCAACTCCCCCTGCCCTGATGGAAAGGACTTTAGTTTGGAAGCTGAGAACCCTGAGGCTAGTCTCAGTTTTACCTCCTCAGTTGTGTGACAGTGTGCCACTCAGAGGCCTTCACCAGGGCCCGTCCCCTCATCTGTACAGTGAGGGGATTGGTCTAAACATGTGAGTCTCATCCTTTTTTGTTCTAGGACATGAATGTCTAGTGACATTCCCTTATAGACCTTCTTGTTGGGTGGCCTACTTCCTAGCACCTTAACTATAACTCAGCCCCTCTCCTGCACTCAAGGAATCATGTTGGAATACAGGGGAGTAAATGATGCTATTATAGGGATAACCTTGAGTCTCTTCCGAGTTATCGGAAACATAAGTACCTGTGAGGTGTAGTTTTGTTCTTAGTCACAGGTCACGTTAATGCTTGGCAGTGAGAGTGTCAGGGCCTGGAGGCAGAGGGCCTGTCCTAGAGCACATCCCTCCCCTCCTCCCATAGCCTCAGCTTGCAGGCAGGTGCCACCTTCCCGAGTTAAAGTGCAGGTGTCCTTTAGTTATTCAAAGAGTTGCAAAACTTTGGTCTTTGGGGTTGAAAAAAAAACCCATGTGAGTGCAGAGGGACTTAGGCTAAATCGGAAAAGCATCTTCCATCTGTGAGACGCAGGTTCACCCCTCACCTTCCCATCAGGCTGTGACACTGGGTCTGCACATTTCTAAACTGGGTTAGAAAATAATCAGCCTGGTGTGTTTACATCCCGCTGTGCAAGAAAACTGGGGATGGAATTCCCCTTCTTTCTTTATGGTCTTCTGGGGTTTTTTGTTGTTGTTTTTGTTGTTTCCTTTTTGTGGAGAACGGGATCTCGCTGTGTTGCTCAAGCAGGTCTCAAACTCCTGAGGTTAAGTGATTGTCCCACCTTGGCCTTTCAAAATGCTGGGATTACAGGCGTGAGCCACCATGCCGGGACTGGTCTTCTAGCTTTGTTACTGATGGATTTGTAACCACCCAGATGTCAGAAATACATCCCTTTCTCAAAGCTCCTCCAGAGTCCTTGGATTGTTTGTATTTCCAAAACTTTTTAGCTCAGATACTTAGATGCTAAGAATCTCTGAGGAAAGAGGTTGGGGAAATGGGGGCTGTGCCTTGGAGTCAAGTGTCCCCTTTGTCTGTAGTTAGCCAGGCCTGAATTTTCTGTCTGGTCCTATAGTTCAAAGCATTGCTAATGAAGGGGGAAAAAAAGAGGATTTGGAGAGGACTTTAAGCAAATTGGTTGTCAGCTAGCCTCCTGGCTCTCAGCACCCCCCACCACCAGAGTCAACGGCTTTTCATGCAGAGTTAGGCACCCACCTGAAGGGGTCACTTGTGAAGGTATGCACTCCTCTTCTGTCCTGGAACGTCTAACAGTCAACTTCAGCCTCCTTTTTGAGAAAAAAAATACATATATATTTATTTGATTGTAGAGGCAGGGTTTCACTATGTTGCTCAGGCTAGTCTTGAACTCCTGAGCTCAAGTGATTTACCCACCTTGGTCTCCCAAAGTACTGGGATTATAAGCGTGAGACAACGTGCCTGGCCACATTTAGCCCTTTATCTGTTTCATAAGACTCATGCCCATAATTCTAGCACTTTGGGAAGCTCAGGCGGGTGGATCACCTGAGGTCAGGAGTTTGAGACCAGCCTGGGCAACATGACGAAATCCCATCGCTACTAAAAGCACAAAAATTAGCCGGGTATGGTGAAGCATGCCTGCAATCCCAGCTACTCGAGAGACTGAGGTGGGAGAATCTCTTGAACCCAGGAGGCGGAGGTTGCAATGAGCCACGAGATGGTGCCATTGCACTCCAGCCTGGGCTGCAGAATAAGACTCCATCTCAAAAAAAAAAATAAATGTTGTAGATGATTATCACTAGTGTCAAATAAAACTGCGTATGGAAAATTTGACTAAAAATTAACAAGAATCTAGTCTTTACAACAGTACAGTGGACGCTTGAACTACATTGAGGTGGGGGGGTGGTAGCTCCGACCCCTGCACAGTCAATCTGCATATAACTTTTCTTTTTTTGAGACAGGGTCTTGTCCTGTTTCCCAGGCTGGAGTGTAGTGCTGCAAACATGGCTCACTGCGGGTTTCACCTCCTGCGCTGAAGCAATCCTCCCACCTCCGCCTCCCAAGTAGCTAGGACTACTGGCACACACCACCGCTCCCAGCTAATTTTTTATTTTTTGTAGAGACAGGCTTTTGTCATGTTGCCTAGGCTGGTCTCAAACTCCTGAGCTCAAGCAAATCTGCCCGCCTCAGCCTCCCAGAGTACTGGAATTACAGGCAGGCACCACCACACCCAGCCCTGTGTATGACTTTTGACTTAACCAAAACTTAACTACTTAATAGCCTGCTGTTGACCAGAAGCCTTACTAAAACATAAACAGTCGATTAAGATGGATTTTATATGTTACAAACGTATTATATACTGTATTACAATAAAGAGAGATAAAATGTTATTAAGAAAATGATAAGGAAGTGGCTGAGTGAGGTGACTCACACCTGTCATCCTAGCACTTTGGGAGGCCGAGGCTGGGAGATCGTTTGAACCCAGGGGTTCAAGACCAGCCACAGGAACATAGCGAGACACCATCTCTAATATAAAAAAGTTTTAAATAACATGTTAAAAAGAAAATTGTAAGGAAGAGAAAATATATTTACTGCTCATTAAGTGGAAGTGGATCATCATAAAGGTCTTCATTCCTCATCTTCACATTGAGTAGGAGGAGGAGAAGGGGTTGGTCTTGCTGTCTCAGGGTGGCAGAGGCCATGAAAAATCCACATGGAAGTGGAGCCCCGCCATTCGAGCCCATGTTTGAGGGTCAGATGTTGTTGGATGTGCCACATTAGGAAGTCCAGGCTGGGCGGGCAGGAATCACAATCACAAAAGAGAGAAGCTGTGATGTGCACAATTTAATGCAGACAAGTAAGATTTCAGTGGCAACAGATCTTTTTGATAGAATTCACATGGAAAAGAATTGATCCATTTGAAAATCATTTCAGTGAAAGAATGGAAAAAATTAGAAATAATTCATCTGTGTTGTATGGAAAAATGGATCAAGGGATTAGGTTTGCTTAACAGAGTTCAACTCAGAAGATTCTCAACCAGAATTCTTCAGTCTGGGTATAATTCTGTATCAGTGGAAAGTCTGGCTGTGTAAGCAGTCCACACTGCCTTGGGAATAAAACGGCAGGATCACAATACCCAGTACTGGCCTGGTACCATGAAACAGCTGTCACTCTTGGTAGCATTTGGCCAAGGCTCATGTGGCATCTGGGAGCACCTGGAGGGCCACCCCTCAGCAAGGCTTACACACATCTCAAAGGACAGTGGCCATAAGCCACAAGGGAGGCAAAGGGGACTGCAGGTGAGGGAGGGAGGTGCTGCCTGGCTTGGGCAGCTGAGGCCAGGAGCCGGGTGAGGGATGAGATTCTTCCGAGGATGATCCAACCAAGTGGCTGAAAGGCTGGGAGGCAGAAGGATGTTAAACTATTATGCAATGGCTGAGTTTCCAGGTGCCTTGATTTGATGCCTCCCTATCCCCATTGTCCACCAGACCCCTCTGAGAAAGGGTCTAAAGAAAATTGGCCGGGTGCGGTGGCTCAAGCCTGTAATCCCAGCACTTTGGGAGGCCGAGGCGGGTGGATCACGAGGTCGAGAGATCGAGACCATCCTGGTCAACATGGTGAAACCCCGTCTCTACTAAAAAATACAAAACATTAGCTGGGCATGGTGGCGCGTGCCTGTAATCCCAGCGACTCAGGAGGTTGAGGCAGGAGAATTGCCTGAACCCAGGAGGCGGAGGTTGCGGTGAGCCAAGATCGGGCCATTGCACTCCAGCCTGGGTAACAAGAGTGAAACTCCGTCTCAAAAAAAAAAAAAAGAAAAGAAAAGAAACCTCAAGTCAGGTGTCAATGGCCTCTGTTAAACCTTAACAAGGGATGTAAGGCAAGGAGAGCCCTAGTGGAAGCTGGCAGTCAGTCACAAGCTGCAATAAAACGGACAAATGCTGCCAGGCACGGTGGCTCACGCCTGTAATCTCAGCACTTTGGGAGCCTGAGGCAGGTGGATCACCTGAGGTCAGGAGTTCAAGACCAGCCTGGCCAACATAGTGAAACCCCGTCTCTACTAAATATACAGAAATTAGCTGGGTGTGGTGGTGGGCGCCTGTAATCCCAGCTACTCAGGAGGCTGAGGCAGGAGAATTGCTTGAACCCGGAACCCAGAGGTTGCAGTGAGCTGAGATCGTGCCACTGCACTCCAGCCTGGGCAACAGAGTGAGACTCCATCTCAAAAAAAAAAAAAAAGGCAAATGTTCAAATGAGTCATTGAAGGAGGACAGGGCTAGGGTCTGTTCCAATGGCCATCCTCCACATTGACCCTGACCCCACACGGCTGGTATTCAAGAGTGTCGACATGTCCTGCAGATGTGCTGGATCTGGAGAAAACATTTCATCCCATTCTCCTCTTTTTCAGGTTTCAAGTGCCCCATTTGCTCCAAGTCTGTGGCTTCTGACGAGATGGAAATGCACTTTATAATGTGTTTGAGCAAACCTCGCCTCTCCTACAATGGTAAGGGCTTGGCCTGCCTCACCAGCCTCCAAAGCATTTGTTGGGGGAGCCTCCAGTCAAGGGTGGTTCTGGGCGGTATTTTCACCTTGCCCTCTGGCAGGCATTCCTGAGTGGTGGTGAGGAAAGTGGACTGTTCAGGGAGCCTTGTTGCCCAGGTCAGAGAGGAAAAGGGGCGGGACAAGGAAAGAAGGCCCAGGGGTCAGGTCCGAGGCCAGGGAAGCCTCTCCGGTTGCTCACTTAGTCCCCTGCCCCTCTACAACTCAGTTGTGAGGACTTTGGCTGGGAGATGCAGCCATTCCTTCACCCATCACGCATTTGACTGTGGAAGGCCCCAAAACAGCGAGATGCACGCCACGGTTCAGCAGACGGGCCCTGAGCAAGCACCTACTCTCCTTGGGGAAGTGGGGGCTATGTGCCAGTGGCATGCAGAGTGCTGGGAAATTGGTCGTCTCTTTGTCACTTTCAAACTCAGGTGAACACTTGATTTAGCCCAGTGACTCCACACCAGAGATCTTGACAGGGGAGTATGTGTGACACAGAGACACTATAGGGATTGAAAATGCAGGTGGGCCACGTTGCTGCTCCACCTAGGCCTTGTCGCCTCCTACCTTGGCGACTGCCTCAGAGCCCAGCAGTGAATACCGCGGTGGGTAGGACCCTGAAGGCAGGGGATTTCTTAACAGCCAAGCTAATCTAACAGGGCACCTCTGGGGAACAAAATGACTGCCAACGTCGGCCTAGCATGTTGTGCGTAAGGCTTGGAGTCCAGCTGATGGGAGTTCGAATCTCCCTCTACCACTCACTGTCTTGTCTTGGACAAGTTGCTGGGCCTAGCGGAGCCTCCGTTTTCTCGTCTGTAAAGTGTGAATAGCAATACTTGGTGCATGGGGTTGTCGGAACTGGGTATGAGGTGGCACATAAAGCCCTTTGGTACAGAGCCTGGCCCATGGTCAGTGCTTGGGAAGTTATAGCTGCCGTGAAAGATGTGAGACCTCCCTAGGTTTCTTTTCACAGTTTTTCAGAGCCCACAGACTTCATCCTCAGTGCTGCTCAGCCCACGCCACTGCTGACCTTCGGTTTTCCATGCTCATGTGTTTAGTCTGGTATCCAAACCATGTTCGTCAGAAAACGGCATCTTCCACTATCACAGGCAGTGGATCTGAGTGCACTCCAACCCGGTACTGGCCCACCTTCCCAGATTCAAGTCATAGTAGTGGTTAGAAAAAGAGTTCTGGGATTTCTGAGAGTATCTGAGGACTGGATCATTTGAAACCAGCCTGGTGAGAATGTTTCCTGGGGAGATTCTTCTCTGCCCTGTAGCCTCCTAACTCTCAGAAGGCTCTTTCCCCTACACAGCATGAGCCCAGGAGGGATCATGGTCAGAGGGTGTTCCTGGGAAGTAACTCCGACTAATCACTTCCACTCGGGTCTCCTGAAAACTTTTCTTTTAGTTACTTGTTCAGCCAAAAGACTCTGGATGCAGGTGGGCATGTTGCCCCCTGTGGCTCAGATCCACATGTGTGTTAGCCCATGTGCAGGTGGGAGGACCAGCATGGCCCTCCCATGGACATCATAGCTGCGGTCTGGGAAGCCTCTTTCCTCCCCAGGGGACAGCCTCTCATTTCTCCTGGGCTAACTGCTGCTGAGCCTCTTAAGTCTGTTGTCGCATGTGCTGTAGGCTTTGCGTCGGTCCTGTCGCGTGCATGCTGTCAGGAGGCTCAGGCTCAGCTTTGTCCCCGTTCACCATCTCCGCCTGGGACCAGGGAGGGAGAGGAGCCTTCCCTGCGTCTCACAGCCCTCCCTAGCCACGGCCTCAAAAACCCTATTCACTTCTTTCCCGCATGTGTGGAGACCTCATCAAGACCTCCGTTTGTCCTGCGGGTTGCTGGGGAGTTCTCTGTAGACACTGCATTTGTTGTAGGAAGAATACAAAGAAGCCTCAGAGGGGCTCGGCCTGAGAAAACCTGGCTCTCAGGAAGAACTTTGCAAGAGCAACCAAGGAAGACAGAGTGCTCTTGGGCCCCTACGCCCCAAATACAGAGTTACCCCACTGCCCTGTGGAGAACAGGGAAGGTGAGGCTCTCCAGTTCCTCTGCCAGAGAACTGCCTGGGACACTACCACGTGTCCCCATGTCCCCCTCTGTGTCAGCATTTGAGTGCCTGGTGCTGTTGGATCACCTGCCTACACCCCACCACTGGCACCCTCACCCAAGGTTACAGAAACCACACTGGGAGTCAGGGCTCCCTTAGAGGAAGGTTGGCCAGCCAGCCTGAGGCATGACCACTGCTCCTCTGGTTCTGGTTCTAGTTTTTCCCTTGTCCTGGAATGGAGAGGTCACCTCCTCAAGGGTGCATGTGTCTCTGTTTGAGTGTGTGCGTGTGTACCTGCGTGTATGTGTGTAAACTAGAGGCTTTAAGCCTAAGGATCTTTCTTGGAAAAGCCAGTCCTTTACCACTGGAGGCAGAAAGGCCACTCGTCTCCAGTCCTTCCAGTGGACTTTGTTTCAAGGTGGTGAAGTGCTTTGTTCAGAAACAGTGGTCCGGCCCTCTGTGGACACTGTTCATGTGGCTTGGATTCCTCATGTTCAGTCTTTGCCTTTTCTGAAGACCCTAAACCTTCCAGGTAGGAGGAGAGCATTTGCTGCCAGGGCACACCCAGGGCCTGCTCCAGCTCAGAGAGCACAAACCGTGGGCCGAAGGTTGGGAGCCTGAATGTTTCCCCCGGGATCTGTCATCATCCCAACCTTACCTGCTGCATGTTACCTTTTCTAACTTAAAAAACGACTTAAGAGTCAGAGGTGTAAGTTCTTGGAATCTTTCTGGAAAGGGGGTGAGATGGGGCTTTCTTAGAGAGTGAGGCATTTTCTCATGACGATTCACTAGAACTCCTGGTCACTCCCCTGAAGACTTCCCATTTACACACATACTTTCTGCGGTTGTTGGCACCAATTGGAGAAATTTTTAGAAAATTTATGATGGTTATATAAGATGAAACTTAGTTAACCACCAAAGGAAAAAAGTAGAAACCTCCTAAATGAGGCAGATAGAAAGTAGTATTTTTCTTATTATGAGGGTTGGCCTGAGTGGTGGGTTGGAAGGCCTCCAGTAGCTGCCTGCCAGCTTAGAAAAAAACACAACAACTTAGGAAAAGTGAGACTAGTTTAACTGGTTCAGCCAGTGCCTGGTGCTACAAGGACAGGCACCTGGCTGGGGAGGTTTGGGAGTGTGCTGAGCCCCTGCTGGAGGGGCAGGGAGGGTGGTTGTCCCTGGAGCACCGAATGTTAAACTCCCTGTTCTCCTAAGTGCCTTCTTGGAAAGTGAGGACAGTGTATAGGAGGGAGGAGATTTGTTGGTTCATTTTTGTGAGTAAAATGGATCAACCACATGGGCCTTTTAATTTCTCTCCCTTTCTAATATCTCTGTGACTCTGAGACTGAGGGACCTTGCACTAAAATATATGCACTTAAGTTTTGACCATCGAGTCTCTGGGCTAGCAGAATGAGCGCAGAGATGGGGGAGATGGGGATCTGATTTATGATGACCTCAACAGAAGAGCATCATAATCCTATGGAGTTACAGTGATGACCCGCTGTTGACTGAAAGCTTAGGGGCCTTTGGCCTAGGGAGAATCTGGGGGGGTGGCAGGTTGGTTTGCCAGCAGCACCAAAGAGAGCTTGATGTTGTCAGGAGATTCTCCCCTCAGCTGTCTTCTGGGGTGCAGGCCCATGCCCAGCTTTTTAACATCGTGATACCCTCTTCCTCCCCTCTGCCAAAGGCCACTGCCCGCATCTTCAAGGCTCTTGAGATGCTAAATGTCACACAAGCTGTCTTTCAAGGCAAGGGAGGCCGGGGTGCTATGGCTCATGCCTGTAATCCTGACGCTTTGGGAAGCTGAGATTGCTTGAGCTCAGGAGTTTGAGACCAGCCTGGGCAAAATAGTGAGACCCCATCTACTAAAAATAAAAAATTTGTCTGACATGGTGGCAAGCGCCTGTAGTCCCAGCTACTCAAAAGGCTGGGGTAAGAGGATCACTTGAGCCCAGGAGATCGAGGCAGCAGTGAGCTTGATCATGCCACTGCACTCCAGCCTAGGCAATAGAGCTTGACCCTGTCTCAAAAAATAAAACATAAAATAAAAATAAAGGTGAGAGGATCTGGCTTCCTGGAAAAGCCGAAGTAGCTCCTGCTGCAGCTTCTGCTGTGCCTGCCGGCACGTCTTTGTCCTGTATCTTTTCCTCTCAGAGACTGTATGGTCAGAATGAAAACACCCTACTCTTTCCCTGCCTGGGAAAGCAGGGTGCTTGCTTGGGGCACTGCCCGGAGCTATTGTTAGATGCTGGAGCCAGGGGTGAAGTCAGGCTGGACAGGCTGGAGTCAGACTGTGGAGGTGTCTCTCCTGCCACTCCTCCTACAGGACAGCAGGGAGGGGCAGGCAACCGCTCATCCAGGGCGCCCAGCCATTGCTGACCAGATGCACTGACCCCCAGCCTGGCCACTGCAGGGTGCATGAGGAGCAAAACAGATGAGGGAAGGCCTGCAGGGCCCTGACACAAGTGGGGAAACCAGAAACAGGTGGCTACAGGAAAGGGGACTGTGGGAGGGAGCTGCGGTGGCCTCAGTAGGAAAGTATGAAGTGCTCCAGGCCTGAGCTTTAGTTGGCTGCCCCCACTGTCCTCATCACAGGCGGCCTAGCACACCAAAACAATTGCATTGCACCTCAAAAGCCTGGGGAGTTAGATGGGCTCCTGCTGGTAGGTGATGCTCTCTGCCCAAGGTCTCCCCATTCCCTGAAGAGCACAGCGCCCCAGATTTCCCAAAAGGGGAGCTGACAAGGCCTAGCCTGGGTGGCAGTGCCCTGTCCTGTCCCTGGCAGACTGGGCCAGCAGCCCTGCATGCTGAGGAGGTGGCAGGACCAGGCACTCCACTGCACCTAGGCTGGAAATGAGGCCAGGGGGTGGAGCCTGAGCCTCTGTGTCATTTGCTAGGGGTTTTCCCTCTGA